CAATTGGATGGATTTGTTGGGTCAGAATCATTTGATTTCATATGAGTAATTCGCTGTGAGATAAGATGGCATTGTTTCTGTCTGCTGTACAAAATTTGTGAGATGTTTTGATTGCAGCGTGTGTGTACTTGTGAATATTTTGTACCAATAGTTGTGAATGTTATCAACATCTGTTGCTTTCCAATTATAGGTCTTTCTTATTGTACAGGTGAAAGTTTCCGTTGTAAAACCTGTAAATTGCATATGTTTGATTTGTTGGCAACGCGTTTCTTCTTCAGCACCATTTTCATGATGAAGATCTGTAGATCAGAGTGACGACCAGTAAGCATTTATTTCATCTTTAGTCAATATTCTATTATGTGTGGCTGGATGCTTTCTTGCCCTAAGGTTTTTGTAGAACATCTGCTCAGTGGTGTGATAAAGAGAGTTATGTTTTTGCGCACTCTTTGCACACTCTTTGTAACGTCGAAGACGTTCGCAATATGCACTGAGTGTTTGTTGCAAAGTGACCATGTATTCATCTACATGTTGGTTATGGCTTTCATGTTTTGTACGAGTTTTAATTTTTTTAAAGATACTCGCAGCGTATTTAGCGACGTTCTTGCTACTGTTACCTTGTTTGTATTGTGTTAGTCTCCCCAAGTCATTCCTGATTTTAGTTATCTTATTATCTATACTTGTTCCCATTTTGGCTTCTTATGTACCTTTCTGCCTTATTGTGTGCGTTATTTGGTGTGGGAGCCCTTTAGTCTGACTTTTGCTATTGCATCACAATAAAGTGCATTTTGAACATCAGTAAAGCTGGAATGATGTATAACATAATTTGGCATGACACACTTATTCAATATTTCAACTATACGAGCTAGATTTTTTGACGTGTTCTGCTTTGAGATTCTGTGCCGTTTTGTTATGTCGGACCCTTCAAATTCAACGATTGCTGCGTAGAATTCGTCTCGTACTATCGTTACGAGAACATCTTCGTTTGATGTCTGTACCATCAGTACGGCGTCTTTTTAAGGTGTTTGAGGAGTTGTATTTCGAGATGAATCTCCAACTCTTAGACTTGCCTCGATCATTCGTTTAATATAACCTGCAACTATTTGAGGATCTGTATTTTGAGGTGAATCTTAAACTCTTCTATCTAGTGTTTCTTCTGGCTCCGCCCGCTATCTTTCAGCGCCATGTCCTCGTCGCCCGGCACCGCGTCGCACGGCATTCCACAAGTACATCCCAACCTTTCTTGGCAATATTGAGCTATCTCTGTCCGTTTATTACCCGTTCTTACATTTAGGGTGCCAAAAATAAGATGTATAATTCTCAAGTAAGTTATAAGAGAATTAATTTCTCAGAATACCTGATGATGGGATCTTATATGTACTCAAAATGTCATAAGACTTATTAAAATACAATTAAAGAATATTTAAGTACAGTTCAATACCTATTGTCCCAAATAAAATAATCTACGACAGAAACGATAAGGACATACACCACACACAATATATTATTATTATGCATTTATTATTAACATGAAATTTTGAATATTTTTGACGAGTGTAACATAATTAATTAATAATAATGAATTAAAAATTGACATTTTACCATTATTTCTTTGTGACGCATTAATGTATTGCTCGACCAAGCGAAGAATAAAGGAGGCAATTGCGGCGCGTCGTGGAACTAACAGTGTAAACACGGATCTATACAGTCAGTTTTGCCAACGAATGTCGCGAGGAGCGTGAAGCGAGTTGTTTGCCGGTGAGGCTCTGCGAAATATGTTCTCGTCGAGGTGTGACACTTTGCGGGCAAGCAAGACGCCTTTGCCTGTAATGTAATTAAATTTTGTGTTAGTGAAAATGAAGGTGAGCGAAAGAAACATGAATATAGATATAAAGTGTCACTTTCTAATTTAAAAATAATGGCATCAGAAGCAATTGATAAAATAACAAATGAAGACTCGAAAAAGCTGACACTCATACCAATAAAATAGCAAAAGAATACTGGGTTAGGGATGCTTTGCTTGAAAATGCTGTTGACGACCTCGTAATAGGTGTTGGTCCGGAAAGCGGCAGTGAATCATCTTGAGACACTGACACTCACACAGCAGCCAGGAGACTCTTACGGTATCAGAAATTAATACTGTTTGTAGGGAATCAGCTGATTAAATATAACTTCAGAGACACATTAAGCAAAATTTGCACTCAGTATTTTATTTTTATGTTTTGTTAAGTTGCTTTTTTTTTTACTTTTTATCGTTCTACTACAAGAATCTAATAAAATGCTTTCTTTTTATATAGAATATTTATATTCGATATAAATATTTTTCGGTGAATTTAAACGTATGTTATTGTTCTTCATTACTATTTTTAAGAAGACTATGCAATTTGTTACGTCGGCAATAAAGTACCAAAACATTACTTTTACAACCATAAGAATTTACAATTTTCTACGTTATGGTGGTAGTGACGAACGAAGTGCAGACATGTTCAAATAGAGTTAAAATATTCATTGGGAAGATACTAGAATTGCGTCGAAATAAATTGCGCCTCCGCAACAGTTGTGCACGGTCTCATTTTTAATTTGAGTTGAGTATCCTTATATCTCCGTGTCTGTCGCTTCGGCTGTAAATAAAGACAGTGCCGCGCTCCTGTAAACATCACTCTCAACTTGGTCTAGATGTACTCTAAACCTGAATTTACTCTTCAGTGTTTTCGATAAACAAATATAAATTCTTTACAAATAAAACACAAATGAAAATTACTTTTTAATACGAGTTCCTTACATAATTTTCCCGTCTGAATACAAAGCTTCTTCAGCCCACAATTTAAAAAAAATGGAAATCTCTGCGTTAAGGCAAAGGAAAATCATTTAAATCATTAATCACAAATCAATCACAAAACATTGAAATTTGTTTTGTGTTGAACAAACAATACAAGGCGAATTGTATATTAAACTTGATAAAAAAAAGTAGAAATTCAAAAATACTACGATCAACAATTTTCAGAAAAGTCAGGACAGTAATTGGCGGGTAGGATTCTATACTCTTCTGGCGGGTCTGGTCACTGGTTATAACGGTGACTGGTGGATACTTTTTAGCCTATGAGCACACACGTGACTGTTGAAACTGAAAGTACTACACAATTAAAGCTATTAACGACAAAGCTTTAAGAAAGTTGGACAAGTATGAAACTGTTCTAAAATAGGGCTTAAAAGTATTGTTTTTTATTAATTTGAAACAATAAGAGTATATATGATCATTTTTAATAACAGCAATCATTTCTCATTTGTGAAAAATGGGTCCAAGTTTTCATTCCATACAACCTGCTACAGCACGTCTTGTTCAATGTAGAAACCATCCACAACATTAAATGACTCAAGATATTTCTGATGTTATTTCCCAAAACGTTCTTTAAAATCATACTTCTCCCCTAAACAGTAACAATTGAGTCTCATTAATAACGCATCACCTTCTCTTATTGGTTTTTCGATTACAATCGAATTGATATTAATAAATGAACGCGTGTTTTGATATCTAACCTGTTTTTAAATGACACGATTCAGTGGTTTATTGTTAGAGATTGCGAAATACAATACACAAGGAAATAAAAATAGAATAAAAGCATCATGAGAGTTAACAATGATTATAGTAACAATGTACAACACGGCTTTTGTACAAATAAATTTGAGAAACATACAAGGTACTTATGACGTTTTCTACAGGAAAGTTGCAGTTAGTTGCCCTCTCATGGCTGGTCTTTCGAAGCTTTTAAATTATTTTCGAGGGTGTCTCTGAAAAGACATTAATAATGGATTGATTGGTCATAAATGCTTGTTCCGTTTTACCGTGTTGTTTTTGGAGCGAACATTCGTGGAATCGTTTTAAAATTATGTTAAAGGATGAAAGCCGTAAAGAGATAACATACTTTTAACATTCAGGATCTTAGTGATAATTAGGGAATGCAAATTGAAGGGAATATTTTGAATTTGCAGTACTCAATGTGATCAATATTAACTTAATGTCATCTCACTTACTCAATGCATCTAATTTCCATGTAGCTTGCAAATTCAATGAAAATATCTGTTTATGATATCCCCAATGGTTGGCGGAATGTTTTTGTGCCCCTAGAGATATTGTTTTCATTATCTATTTTTTGTCGATCTTTGAAAAGGTTAATATATTTGCGTTTTATTATTTCTTTGTTTCGTTAGAATGAAATATTAAATATCCCACTCCACTATTTATATGGCTTATTATCACTCAAGAATTATTTGCCTTTAACCTGAAATTGTTTACGCGCAGGGATTGTTTATGACTTATCAAAATTTCACACTTGCGTAACCTCACGAATCAAGTAGTACTAACAGGTCCTTGTTCAAATTTGTCTGAAGTTGTGAATGCCCTTAAGATATAAGAGTTATAAGAAGTATCCATAAACCACCACATATAACTTACCGTCGTCTCAACACCTATTAACAAAATACTAAACAATTATAAAATAGAGAAAGTTCCCGAGACTTTCGTGAAAGCAATACGTTGTAATAATGCGTCACGTTCTTATACTATGTATCTTGTGTTTATCGCGACCATTGTGTTGAAGGCAATTTTTATACCACTGCATTTGGCTCCCAGATGGTTTTCGCGATCGAGCTGATAGAGGGTAGGGGTGGTGAGGTGACGTCACTGTTGCCTAGGCGACTGCTATGTTGAGCGCGAGGCCGCTAGGTGGCTCTGCCGGGCGCGCGTGGAAATCTCACGGGGAAAAATCAATTTAGTCTGCATAGAGGGCGGGAGGCGCGCGTGAGGTGGCAGGGAGCAGAAACGGCGCGCTGCAGAGCGAGAGCGGGACAAGATGGCTGTGTGGAGAGCTGCCGCGTACTAGTGGCTGTCGAGAGGAGCGGAACGGACGAGTTGTCAGTTGTTTGTTCGAGTTGTGCTGGCATGACGTGAGTGCAGTGCGGCGTGCGCGGGGCGCGAAGCCACAGAGAACATTCCTCCGCACAGCATGGCCTCGGTCGCCGCTTGGCTGCCCTTCGCCCGGGCGGCGGCCATCGGCTGGGTGCCCATCGCCACCCACCCGCTTCCCCCGGCGCCCATCCCCAAGGACCGCAGGAAGGCGGACGACGAGAAGTTACTGATAAACGTGTCGGGTCGTCGCTTCGAGACCTGGCGCAACACGCTTGAGAAGTACCCGGACACCCTTCTTGGATCCAACGAACGCGAGTTCTTTTATGACGAGGAGTGTAAAGAATACTTTTTTGATAGGGACCCCGATATCTTTCGTCACATTCTCAACTATTACCGTACGGGTAAACTTCACTATCCTAAACACGAATGTCTGACGAGTTATGACGAAGAGCTGGCATTCTTCGGTATCTTGCCTGATGTTATTGGTGACTGTTGCTATGAAGATTATCGCGACCGCAAACGGGAGAATGCCGAACGTCTTATGGACGATAAACTGTCTGAAAACGGTGACCAAAACTTGCAACAACTTACCAACATTCGACAAAAGATGTGGCGTGCCTTTGAAAATCCACACACGTCAACGGCGGCATTGGTATTCTATTACGTTACGGGCTTCTTCATAGCTGTGTCAGTGATGGCCAACGTGGTAGAGACTGTTCCATGTGGGCTACGACCGGGTCGAGCCGGTACACTCCCTTGCGGGGAGCGGTATAAAATAGTCTTCTTCTGCTTAGACACAGCCTGCGTGATGATCTTCACAGCGGAATATTTGCTGCGACTGTTTGCTGCACCTGACCGTTGCAAATTCGTTCGCAGTGTAATGAGTATCATCGACGTGGTCGCCATTTTGCCCTACTACATTGGGCTGGGGATTACTGACAACGACGACGTCTCCGGCGCCTTCGTCACGCTCCGAGTGTTTCGCGTTTTTCGCATCTTCAAGTTTTCGCGACACTCGCAGGGACTGCGCATTCTCGGCTACACGCTCAAGTCGTGTGCCTCCGAGCTTGGCTTCCTCGTGTTTTCGCTCGCGATGGCCATCATCATCTTCGCTACCGTCATGTTCTACGCCGAGAAGAATGTGGAAGGCACTAATTTCACTTCCATTCCCGCCGCCTTCTGGTATACCATCGTAACAATGACGACTTTAGGGTGAGTAGAATACAAACCGGGTGTGCGCTTAGAAACGTGGGCACTGGCGATCCACGAGGCGGCACTGGCCCGCAGCCAACTCTGTTCTCTCGTTCGTGTTTCTCGAGCTTGAGCTGGGCTCACAACAAACCCAGCACAAGGCCGCTGCTTTTAATAGCCTTTTCGTTTTGAAGCACGCTTGTGTGTTTATCAAGGTATGTTGTTGCAGATGACTTTTGTGAAGGCGGTATTTGAACACAAGCGTGGTTCCTTGTGACGCATGAAATGTCACCCAATGACAATCATCTTTGCTCTTTATCGTTGTCCCTTATCAACTCATTTCCACGCCATTCTGGATATATTAAGTAACTGGTACGCCTCCTGCCTGTGGGTTCAGAGCACTTGCCTCACGACTAGTCCTCCGGGAACAGTGAGACAGTATTATTTTCCCCAGGCAGTCTTTGTCCGGGAATAATAATTAGTAGAATTATTTTATTTTGAGGATATGGCGGATTATTAAATTACTTTTGTCAAAACAAACATGTAAGAGATTAATTTAATTCAGCTTCAATGAACATTTCGCATTGGTGCATTTGATAATTGCACCATTGTATATATTCACATGTTTATAGTTTCGGGTTGAAAACAGGAGGAAATAATTTAGAATCACTATGTGTGTAATTTACAGTCACAATTGAATGACATCACGAGTGATGTAAATACTTCTGGAAATTGATATTGAAATAGATCTCACTTTAGTCTTCTGTAACGAATGTGCAATAATAAATGAACAACTGGAACATTCCGGATTCCAATCAATACTATGCGCTCTATTGTTGATGAAACCTAGTTGTTTCATTACCATATTGTTAACATGCTTGGGTATGTTGTGGTATAACATCATTCTGATTAATCCTAGACAGAATGGCTAGAAAGATATTGAGAAACATATACATTATAATCGTTTAAATAAATATAAATTATATCATATTTGTGGGAATATCAGTGTCGTTTGGATATTATGATCTTGATGTTTTTCTTAATTGTAAGCAATTACTAGTGAATTTGAGATCATATTGTTCTTTCTCTCATTCTCCTTTGATCATTAATACAGAAAACATTGACAATCGCGTTGGACTAATCAGGCCGAACCTCATCATAGACCTCTCTACTGTCTATTTATTTTACATCACAAAAGTATACATGATCAGATTCCACAGTACGTAATAACATTATTATGCTAGTGTGTATCAATATATTATGAATGTTCTGTATTTGATAGAAGAAGTATGTTTCAGTACTTAATCATTTGAAATTGTTTTAAATTTCTCATATAATTGCCAAATTCTAGGTATTACAATAATATGTGCACTTATGAAACTCAAAACATTTAATGACCCTGGTGATCGTTGTGGTGTTGGCAATTCCTCCAAATTAATATTAATATTAGACAGTATTAATCATGTTTGAATTCTTAAATAATTCTGGGAAATGTTTTCGAAATCATTGTACTTTAGATGTTTTTCAAATAATTAAACAGATCAAATAAGATAAGATGGTAGTTAACTATTAGTAAATTACAATGTGTTGGGTCCGGTAAAATTTAGTCATTTATTTATTTTAGTGTTGTTTTTTAATGCCACCAAGTAAAAGCAGATTTAATGGATTTGTATAACCGTGGTCGTTTTATTTCCTTTCTGACGTGCCATGGCTAACAGAGACAAGAAGCGATCTTGCAATTAATACAAATCTAGGGCACCGTAACTACAGTACTCGTTTTCGAGATAAGCAAATATTTTCGTACAGAAATCCTGATATGTGTGCATATGTCTAACAGTAATGATAATTCACCAAGTATTTAAAAATGGTTAAAAAAGGTTTCCAAAGTTTAAGAAAAGACTACAATTTTTACTAAAAAGCTGGATGAATGGAGAATGTGACGTGAAAGGTGCTTTCTAATCTGTGAAAGACTAGAGGTGCCCATGAATGTTACACCTCGTTATAAATCTTTGTTCTATGCCAGAGGTCCCTTTCCTCAGAGTATCACGAAAATTGTGTTTTATCGTAGAACTTAAATGACATTAATAAATTATCAGAAAATACTGTAGTTTATTTGGGAAAACGTAGCCCAATTTTCACATTGCATTATGTCCAGTAATGTATTTTTGTCTTTGTGATGGAGACGTTATGTTCAGTAGTAAGGTTAGATATTTGAAACATATTAAATGGCCTGTCAAGCTTATGCTCTTGGAGGATTATTGGGGAATCAAATAAGTATAAATTGTTGTATACACTGTCACCCTTTATCGAATGTGTAATGTGAATACTGAATGCATAAAAAATAATCGTTAATATGTGAAAGATTTACTTTTTATGACTTTTAAATTGAAGGAAAATATTGATTTTTAATTTAAAAAATATATAGTCTCATACGCGTGAATTTGAAGAACATTTGGCATATCGTATTACACATTGTATGTAACCAGATCTGTCTTTTCTCTCAAATATATAACTGTCATTATTCATGAAATGAAATCAAAAATGATCCTTGTGGAACAAGGAATTTAAAATATAGCTACTGAGAAAAGTGGGTGACATTATTACGGGTTGATATCCAGCATTCTCTTTTTTCCACACAGCCCCCATCCTGGGAGTGTGAGCGTCTTTTACGGCCCTTTTATCATCCAGCGCTGAGGATGGGAGAGTGGAGGAAGCTTTGGAGCTTCGCGCGGCGAAGGCATTTCCTCGGAACGCCTCACCCCACGCTTCGCTCCATATTGATCACTGGGGAAACAGACGGCTGCTCTCAGCTAGACACTTTTATTCAATAAATCTGCGTGTTTTGTTCTATGCTCTCTGCATTTTATACCATCTATTTATTGTCTCTTTGTGAAGCTTTCTCGTCTTTGACTTCATCACTCCTCGCTTTCCTTTCGCTGCTTGTATAGTTATCCTTTCCTTTTTTTGTGATTTCCTCCTCCTCCTTTTTGTATTATGCTCCTGACGAGAAGAAGAGAAAGCGCAGATAACCGATAAGACTTGGCTTTCTGGGCAATAAATAATGAAGGAATGAGGAATAAGATGGTAATGTGGTACGAGATGATTCACCTTTGCCTTCACCCCACAATCACAATAAAAAGAGGAAACCTGATGGATTTGTGTTACTCGTGAAGACTCGTAACGTAGCGTGACAAAATTGAATGGGGTAGACGACAGCACCAATGAAGAACTTCAGATATTAATGATTCCTCATTGTCGTATTGTAGTCCTTGAACACAAAAAATCAGTTGAATATTATTGAAAACGTGTATTACTCCAAAAAATTGAAGTATAACATTCCTGTACTTGAGACACTCAACCTTGGTGACATCACAGCATACTGAAACGTTCCCGGGCGAGAAGGCCTTGCCTACCCAGCAGTTGAGGCGATGTGCCTTCCGCCTTTAATGAGTTTCCGCTCTTAGACTTCAGTCCCCTGAGGTGGCTTCACTGCGTTGCACGCAGACGTTAAAGCCTGGGGAAACACTGTTTTGGGACGGTTGTTGATTTAGCTGTGGACGTCTCTACATGAAACCCAACGAAAATCAGATTCTCACACTCGTTTTATGTTCAGAAATTATAAGCAAATATTGCTTCGTAGCCCCTGATATTAATCCAATTAGGTTGAAAAAAAGTAACACCTAAATTTCAAAAAAGCCGGCCTCCTTCAAATAATATTTTCCCTATTTTCATTCAATTAAATATATTTTCACCCTGAGAGATGAGTGTGCTCTTTATAACCGTTTAAGTGAAAAGCGATAAACCAAACACTATTTTTAAGTAAACAACATCAATATTGAAGTTCACTATACACTTTGTACTAAAATTCGAAATATTGTAAAAGGGTTTTCAAAAGTATGGACGAAGTTTGTTTCATTGCTTAAATAACGACTCAACAAATCTGCCTGCTTCACAGGGGCTAGACCAACCCCTTTGGCCCAACCCCGGCTGGACCCCAGGGCCCACAGGGGCTGGACCAACCCCTTGGCGTTCTAAATCTAACCCTTTCCTAATTCTTTTACAATTCTGGCTGCTGAGTAGTAACGCAGACGCGCGTGGTAAGAGACTCGTACACGGAGATGCTACCTGGCGGTCCTCTTGGCAATTGACTGACGAGACATTCATAAAGAACAAATATTAATGGAGGATTACTCCAAAAAAGCGCTCAATGCTCTACCAGGTGATTAGAGACGTGTGGCATCAATTAATGATATGAATATTTACGATGATTAAGAATTTAAAAATAATTCGCCGTTTTCCGGCGCACGATTACATAACTTTCTCTTCTTACAAAGTACTCGTAAGGCGAGAAAGTAAAAAATCTTCTTGGAGTAGTTGGAAACATGGAAAATGGCATGTTGAGATAACCTGCACACTGATTTTGAATCATTTTTCGTAATAATTTTTGTAATAGTGGAGACATTTTTTTTAGGCGGGTTGTTACATTCTCTACAGTCCCCACTCAGGCAACGACCGCTTATTGCTCTCCCAGTGCGTAGACGAGACTTCACTAGTGTGCAGAAATGGGGGTGAGGACAAGTGACGCGTGAGTAAGTGAGTAGTGGGGAGTACCTCGTAAATGATCTTAATCCACTTAAATTATGCATCCCCGGTACAGCTATTTGATAATTTTAATACAATATTTTTAACTTGAATTACAGAGTACTATAAATAAAATGTAGGCTTTCAATAGTCTTCGAGCCCGTCCAGACTTGTTAGGAACTAATTATATGAAAAAACAATTTAGGGTAATAGCAAGAGAAAGTATCATATTTGATCATATCACATTTACATGGGTATGGCCTTACTTTAAATGGCAATAAGGACGTGTTTCTTGGGAATATTACCAATTCAGATATTATTGACGATACTTTGTGCCTAATTTCGAATACACGCAATCCATGTTAAAAATATTTCGGCGATCATACGCTTGGGCAATTTAATCGCGTGAAAACATGCGATTTGGATACAAAATAAATTTTGTAC